GTTTGGGCCTCATTGCCGGCTGCAGTCATGTCCTCTTCTCATATATAAAACACCTCTGATTCACAAATACTTGCTAAGGAACTCGCATTCACATGAAGTAGCCTTGTTGACAAGTTTGGGTGAGTAAGTGCAAAACGCACAAGATGCAGTAGGCTACTTTCAGTGACCTGTAATCAGTGTTGCCAAGTCCTCGGTTTTCCCGCGGAATTGGGCTACTTTAACACTGTTGCCACAGGTTGTTTTTCATGTCCGCGGGTTAACTAATTACATTTACTCCAATACCCTCTGACACACACACACACACAAGGTATGAAACATAGTGACTGAGAAAAAGAAAGAAAGAATAAACAGTTATAAAATGTGACTTATTCTTCTAAATCATAATAATTTGTTGGTAAAATGCGTGAAAAGAAATGTTAAAATTATTCCTAGGCCTCCTGCTGGTGACCCACTGTGAAACGGTTTAGTCCAAAGGGTCAAAGTTTGGCTGGTTAGCTTGGCCCAGTTAGTCCCTGCTGGTAGATGCTGTAACTACATCATCCAGCCTAAAAGAGCATGTATTGATTGTATTTATTGCTAATATGTAATTATATTGTTGTAGATGTTTTCTCAGTGTCCGAATCTGGCTAACAGTGTTCTTAAAATCATGAAATGGCTATTTTAACTCTGTTTTCATGTTACAGGATAATTGCTAGTAAATTTAATAATAAATTAATAAAAGGTATTAAAAATGAATAAATTAACTTAAACTTAAGGGGGTTAAACAATATACGTTACATATTTAGAGAGTTTTAAGGCATTACTTTTTTCAGTTTCTTTAAGGATTAAAATGAAATTTTTAAATAATTTTTAAATGACACAAAACTTGGAGCAACTTTAACAAGTAAATGAAACTAACCAATAATCAAGGGTTTTAAGCAACTGCTTTTAAGATGAATGGGAATGCTAACAGATAGAGACCTCCTTGGCCCAACATGTCCTTGTTTTGTTCTATAAATATTATCCCTAATAACAACAACATATAATTTAGTCTGCTATGCAGGTATTTTTGAACAAACAAACAAACAAATAAATAACTCTAGAATAGGGTATGTCTTGTCACTCACCAGTTAAGTTCAAAAACAGATGAAAATTTTTATGGTTCAATTGATACTACACAGCGAAATTAAAGTAGGTAGGCATAAGATGCCCAGATGTTGCCTCGAGTTCGATGGTACTCAAATATTTTATTTCTTTTATCTCATTATTTTAATAGGTTTCTCAATGTCGTGCACACGTGACCTGTTATTTTTCTCCTCCCTGCTAGGATCACGTTCTTTGGTTGAGATTATTGAAGCATATTTTTTATTTGTATTTCAAATAACTTAATATATAAAAGCTATTATATAATATAAAAAACTTTATACATTTTATATATATTATAAAAAACTATTATTATACTATTATACTTTTGTAAAGAAAATATTTTAATGCGGGATTCGGTTTTTGAGCCCCTCGCGCCCCCTGGAGGGAGTAAACTTTCTCCAAGAAACGACTATTAGCTTGTAGCATTTGTTTCATTGCGCTTGCCGTAGAATTGTGGGAGTTTATGTAAAATCATGATGGCGGCGGCCTGTGCGAGAACGCTTAGTAAGGTCGCCCGGTTAGTTTTAGACACGCCGACATGCCGTCTAACAAACACCGCAGCATTAGTGCCGAGAATCTCCATGAGATGCCAAGGAAGGGCTTACGGTACCGGCGGAGCGGGATTTAGATCCAGAACGTTGCTCGCTGCGCCGGTGCGTGGCAGTGGGAGAGTCCTGGGATGCGCCTTCTTGCTCGGTGGTGGTTTCGGCTTGTACCAGACCGTCAAACTCACGCTTCAGCGTCACCTTGCAGAGGAAAAATCAAATGTATATATACATACAGTTTTGGATGAGAGTGTTGAAATGTGCCCTTAGTTTTGGGGTTGTTAGCTCACCATGGTTTTATTAACTTGTTTTGAATAGGCACCTGAGCTGGGGACAGATCTGAAGTTGACTCTGTATCAGTATAAGACCTGCCCGTTTTGCAGTAAGGTGCGAGCCTTCCTGGATTGTCATGGTCTGCCATATGAAATTGTGGAGGTCAATCCCGTCATGCGACAGGAGATCAAGTGGTCCACTTACAGAAAAGTTCCCATCCTGATGGTGAACGGGACGTTGGTATGTAGCTATTCGCATCTTTCTGATGATGATCGATATCATCTTTCTGATATATGATGCTTCAGCTCATCAAGTCCCTCTCTTTGTTTATATCTCAATAGCAACTCAATGATTCTTCTGTAATAATAAGTGTTTTGAAGACATACCTGGTCAGCAGGTGAGCATCTTCTGCTTGATGATCTTTTTATATGAATGGTCATGTTAAAATTTAAGTGGTTTTAATTACTTTATTTGTTGCATAAACATTTGGTATGTTTGTGTATTATAGTAATTTAGAAATGCTTTTGTTAACACTTAAGTATAGAGACAAATTCTCACTATTAACTAGTTGCATATTAGCATGCCTATTATTAACATATTTGCTGTTTATTAGTGCTTGTAAAGCACATATTCTGCATGACCATAATCTACATCCCTAATCCTACACAACACCTATTTTTAACAACTACCTTACTAACTAATAATGGGCAAATAAGGAGTTTATCGAGGTTTGTTAAAAGCGAGAATTGGACCTTAAAATAAAGTGTGGCCAAGCTTTTTTGTTTGTTTTTTTATGGACGCCCCAAAGTATGATTATTCTTCAGAAAGCATTTTAAATAATACAGAATGAAAAGTGACAATAAACATAATGTTTTGTTCACAGTATTGATTGGAAATTGACAATTTGATGTTTTCCTGAAGTTGGAGGGGGATTGATTGTGAACTTTTGAGCACTGTGTTCAGTTTTGTAATAGTTGCTTTGCTTTAGGCAAATAAATGTAAATATAAATGCAAATTTTGATTGTTTGTTCACTGCTTCTTTTAGGGAAAAAACAATATCTGAGATTCTCACTTGTTATCCTGAGATGAAGGCAAAAAATGACAGTGGAAAAGACGTGATAGAGTTTGGCAATAAGTACTGGGTCATGGTTCAAGACACAGACGCTGATCGTCTATATCCTGGAAAAGACACCAGAAAGTAAAGCAAATCAGTTATTTCTGAAAGTGATTGCTTTATTATCCTTTTTTAAATTTAATTTACAGAGTCAAACATAATTATTGGATTAACAATTTTTGCCCAGAGAGGAGATTAAATGGCGGAAATGGGCAGATGAGTGGCTGGTGCACCTAATTTCCCCAAATGTTTACCGCACGCCGACTGAAGCCCTTGCATCCTTTGATTACATAGTGAGAGAAGGCAAATTTGGGACATTTGAGGGATTCTTTGCTAAGTATTTTGGAGCTGCTGCCATGTGGATCATTTCAAAGAGATTGAAAAATAGGTATGTTTTTAAGCATTTTAAATAATACATAATAAAGATATTTGTCAAAAATGTTTTGATAATAAAGTTTAACCTCATCATACTACACAGACACCATCTGCAAGATGACGTGAGACAGGATCTCTACAAGGCCGTCAATGATTGGGTGTCAGCCATTGGAAAAAACAAGAAGTTTATGGGAGGCGATCAACCCAACCTTGCAGATCTGGTATGTGTTTTTCTCGAAGTCTAAAATTATACATAAAAACACAACCGTTGTAAAGTTTGGGTCTGTAAGATTTTTTTTTTATGTTGAAAGAAGTCTCTTTTGGTCACAAAGGCTTAATTTATTTGATCTAAAATACAGTGAAAACAGTAATATTGTTAAATATACCTCAAGCAGATGGTTGTCAGCTGGTTAGTCATGTTTTTCTCGAAATAATTAAGCGAACACATGTTAGATAAGACTCTTCTACAAATTAAAATACACACTGTTCATTCTAATGTCACCACAACTGATTGTGAATAAAATGGCAATTTATGTATGAGAAAATTTCACGGACAAAGGTTAGAATAGGAGGCACATAGCAACGCGTCGTTGGCATAGAAACCTAATCAGCTTCAGTTCATTGGGCGTTAAACACACTTCTCAAATTTTTGTCGCTGAAGTTTCGAATCAGCCAATCAGAAGCAAAACAGAATGTAGAAGGCGGGATTTAGAGCGTCAGACGCGTCTCCGATTGGCGGCTATTGTTGTCCATGCGAAAGTCTACCGGGTACTGCAAACAACATCACACAGGGGACGCAACGTTGCATACTTGTATTACGGTTAGTGGTATTTTTATTCATATTACATTAATCGTTTAAAGTACATAAGTTTTCATCGATCAAGATTATTTAACTGGTCGTATAAATATGCAGTGTATAAACTGAGAAAAGATTAGTAGCACAAACAGACTTGGCTGAGAACTAATAGTCTTTTTTGTTTAAAAGATACGTAAGTATGATTAATAACACTTCTGTTTTATTTTTCTTCCAATTTTATGATACACTTCTGGTGAACTTTTTCATATTCTCAAGACAAATAAAGATCGCCCTACTGAATTAAAGGGATGAAAACACGGTCGTCTTCTCCACCCGTCCATGTTCATGTCCCAGACTCAACATCTGTGCATGTCCACCTGAAGAAGAGTCCACAGAAAAGCCAGGTCAGAATAGATGCTGTTTACCATTCCAGTTTAAAACAGTCTCATTTGATTTACTGAGACAGTGAAATCACTCATCATCACAACTCTTTTATGTTCAGCAGGGGAAAGTGAGCAATTTACGATCCACTGCCAGTGTAAAGGTCCGAGCTCCCTGGGTTCCTCCTGGAAAGGCTTCAAGACGAAGAGAATACAAAAGGGAGGTTTGTTAAGTCCTATTCTACCCCATCTGCCAGCACAAATCAATCATCTATAATGAGTCATTTTTTAAAATTGTGACTCTGAATGACTGTACTTTAATAAAAAATTTCCATCAGGGGCCTACTCGCTGCTTAGAGATCACCCCAGGACGGGCCACTGACCCTTCTTCACCTCCTCTGCAGCTCACTGACCTGTCCAGTGAAGAGGACGATGCGAGAGGAGTAATCGATAAATATGAGAGAAAAATTGAAAGTCTAATGTCAGAGGTTGACTGTATAAAAAGTGAGGTATGGGTAATCATGATTATAAGATGGACTCACCATTCACCGTGCAACATTGTGGATTTGAATGTCTAAATCTTCACAGGTAAAGTTACGGCAGGCAGAGGACCACTTAAAGCACCAGTCACAGCAGTTGAGCGCCTGTCGGCGTTTGATTGATCAACATGAGGAAAGACTTGAAGAAGCCAGCAAGGACTTGAGGAGGACAAAGCGCGAGAATGCTGATCTGCGTAGCACTGTAGATGGGACGCAGGCTGAGTCTAGACATATGAGGTATAGTTCTTTCTGACACATTAGCTTCTTTTTAGGGTTGTTGTGACCAAATGCTTAAAATGTGAGAATTATGTGGATAGATCAGAAACAGGACCTCCACACCAGCAGATAGAAACTTTGCAGAGGAAACTGGTGGAAGCTGAGATAGACGGCCAGGCTGTAGCCAAACAAGTGATAGCACTGAGGGAAACCGTGGGCAAACTTAAGAAGGTTGGCAAAACTCCACACTTTTCAGTTACCTCTGGAATCGTTTCTCTCGAATAATAATAAAAAAATCCCTTTGTGCGTTCATGACAAAAACAGTCAAAGACGCACTCTGATCAGTTGGGTCGCCAACATGAGCTACTAGAGCAAAAGTTGGACACGTTTGTGGAGACAAACCGCACTCTCAGACGGCTTTTGAGGGAACAGCATGGACGAGAGGTACAAAAACGTCCTAACTAAATTTGTCTCATATTTAGGTTGGCTGTTGGTTCTGCAGTATTGTGTATATGCACTTTTTTTTAAACAAAAAATGTCTGTTTTGTCTGTCCTTTTCACCACAGACAGATGCACTGAGGTTGTCTGATGAGAAGGAGATGCTAATGAGAAAACTTGCTGAATCTGAGGCTGAGAAAAGGGTTTGTAATCTAACTCCAACATTTCTTGCTCTCTCTCTCTATATATATTTATGTATATATAACAATGTTGTTAGCTTGATACACATACATTTTATTCAAAAAGTATGCGTTAAATGTATCTAAAGTGACAGTGAAGACTTGTTTTACAAAATAAAATCTCTGTTTGTTAAAATAAATGCTGAACTTTTTAAAACTTTTTATTCATCAAAGAATCCTAAAAAAATTGTTTCAGGGTTTCTAGAAAAACATTAAGCAGCACAACTGTTTTCAACATTGATAATAATTAAAAATGTTTCTCAGGGACCAAATCAGCATATTAGAATAATTTCTGAAGGATTATGTGACACTGAATACTAAAGTAATGGCTGCTGAAGATTCAGCTAAAAAAAAAGACGTTTTAGAATACATTAAAACAAAAAACTAAAAATTATTTTAAGTGGTTATAATGTTTTACTTTCTCTTTTAGAAACTTGAGACTAAACTCAACCACAGGGACAGAGAGGCCAATGGGATGGCTGAGAATTTGGAAAATGAAAAGGTAATAATGATATCTCACTAATTCTCTTATTTTTTATTAATTTGCATAAGATTCTTCTACGGAATGTTTTATTACATCTTCTGCATTTCTGTGAATATGCGTCAGATTAGCTCCAGTGTTGTAGGAAGTGTTTTTAAGAATGTGTTTTGTGATTGCCATCACAGGATCATCTGAGGACTGCAGGAGAGCTGTCAAAGGTTCTTGAATCCACCCGCAGTCGCTTGCAGAATCAGCTGCACAAGAAAGAAGCTGAGAATAACCGGCTGGAGGCTCAGATTCAAGTAAGCCTGCTTTTACCTTAGTCATGGTTTTCATTGACATAAAGTGGTACATCATGTAAGTCTGTACTGTACTGTGGCACAGAGGCTGGAAGAGACACTGCAGCATCAGCAGGAGGAGGTGCAAGGCCTGCTGGAGCAGATGAGAGAGCTGAAGCAGCATTGTGAAGGAGACAGAGACGTCCACAAACAGGTCTTGGAGGACCAGAGGAAACAGGCTGAACAAAGTGTGAATACAGCTGCACAGCTCTCTGCAGAACTCCTGGACAAGGTACTGGACAGAAGAACAATACATGAACTGTACTACAGGGTTTCATAAAATTCATAGAAATATTTTGTAGACTTTCATGGTTTACAAAGTGCTAATTGATTAAATAATTTTCAAAATGTCCTTTTTTAATATGGCACTGCTGGCTCATGTATTCATTTGACTTGAAAGACTGATTTTTATGCAGTTGGCCAGTATGAGCCATGCAGTGCAAACTCTGATGTGTTTGTGTCATCTCCTCAGGAGGCTCAGTTAGCAGAGGCTCTCTCCACTGCTGAGGAGCTTCGGCAGCGCTACTCCAAACAGAACAGAGAGAAAAGCCAGCTGGAGTTGGAGATCACCACCTTAAATAAGTCAGTGACTCAATCTTCACTTGTTCTAAGTGTCCACTGAAGCTCAGCCTAGTCTTCACGTCTACAATTTATTATTTTTAGTGTAAATTATGGATTATGTTCCGAGTAGTTTATGATGAGTTTTTGAAATTCTCTTTCAACTTAATTGTCGATCAATTCCTTTGTAAAAAAAAAACAAAAACAGGTCTGTGTTACTGGGTGAATCTCACAAACCCTGCTAAGAGAATGCCCAGTCAGCTTTCATTTCAATTTTTAATTTTTTTGCATAAGGTAAATAAAACCTGCATTTCTGAAGATGTGCATTGTTTTGTGGCAAACATATTTTTCCTACCCATTTCTCATTACCACCATGAGCATTTTACTTACTCTACATTATCCTTATTATCTTTATCTTTACTTCATTCATTTTCTTATTGGCATAATAAATTACGTTTTACCATATTACATTAAAATACATTCAAATAATGATCTTTAAGATTTCAGCATCATTACTCCAGTTTTCTGTGTCACACGTTCCTTCAGAAATCATTCTAATATGTTGATTTTGTGCTTAAGAAACATTTCTTATTATCAATGTTAAACAGTGCTGCTCAATATTTTTATGGGAATTTTGTGGCATTTCCTTTTTTACTTTTGAATGGTAGTGTATAAATATAATTTAATACTTTTTTCACATTACAGTGATGAGAATATGATGATATCTATCTATCTATCTATCTATATATACTGTATTTGTTTGGAATATGGTAGTAAGAATTAAGGGGAATAAAATGGTTCTTTATTCAGAATATAATTTGTTGTTTATGAAATATAAACTCAGTATAAAATATTGAGGGGTTTCCTGATATTTACCCAATTGTTATATTCAGTGGAGCTCATAGTGGATGGTGATTGTAGACGTTGTTCTTTGCAGTCGCCTCATTGAGTTGAGTGAACAGCTGCGCAGTTGTAAGGAGAAGTCCTGCGCAGAGAGAGAGGGGCTTCTCAGCCGTCTGCACTTCCTCACCTCAGAGAACACGGCCACCAAACTGGAAAACCAGAGACTCAAGGCAAGAAATCTAATAAAATCTTGTCTAGATCTAGACTTTTCTTATTCATCCAAAACCATTTAAGCTCTGATTTAGATTTTTGTGCATTACCTTGCATGTCTCCTCTTTTAGAGCACTCTGTCAGCCACAGAGGACAGACTGTCTTTGTCTCAGTCGGAGGTGCAGCAGCTGAAGATTTCTCTCAGAG